ATAATTTTACCCTAATATATATTAGGGGAAATTATGTTTCTGGCATTTGTTGTAGTTCTCCTTTTGGACTCTTACAGTAAATCTACCTGTGATTGGATACACATGAGCCAGTGCTGGCCTTTGTGTGAGACCATGACAGTTCCACGTGCATCTTTTTGTCCCAGGCAACTCCAAGTGTCCTCAGTAGGATGGAGAAACAGAAGCGCAGGGAGGAAGAGGAGGAGCGCCAAATCCTTCTAGCTGTGCAGAAGAGGGAGCAGGAACAGATGCTGAAAGAAGAGAGGAAGAGGGAGATGGAAGAGAAGGTGAAAGCTGTGGAAGGTATGCATCACTGATAGGTGAAGCAAAAGTGGAAATGTTTGGGAGTCTTGCTGGTAAACTGAATTGGGACCTGCCATTTACACTTCTCTAGTGTCAGGAACATTAATGTACATCCAAGAGGGAGCCAGTGCATGCTTTACCTTAGAATTGGGGTGTCATCCTCTGGTCTGTTCGGCCCACTAACTTCTCCTCCTTCTCCTTCAGTGTCTGGTAGCTGTCCTCTTCTATTCCTTTCAGCTGTGCCTTCTTCTTACCACCTCTGTCTTATCCACTTCAACATCCCTATCCTTTCCTTCTCCTCCTATATAGAGTTGTTTTGCAGTTGCTTCACGTTCTTCTATTGTCCCTACATATTTGATCAGCCCAGGTGACCTTTCATTGCCTTTGTGGCATATGCTGTAGTTTACCTAAAGCACATAGGCAGAAATGCTGAAAGATGGATGAGTTCTGCTGGAGAAGGGGAAAGGGTGTTGCCATCAGAGGGGCAATTTGTGATGAGGGGGCCAGATGAAGAATTAGGTTGTGCAGGTGGCAACTTCAGGTGCTTTTCTGCTTGCTAGTTCACCTAGCCACACTGCTGCTGTTATGGTAGTAGCAGGTGTTGTGGTGGTAGTAGCTTCAGCCCTGGCTCTGGTCCTGGGGCAAGAACTGCTGCCACCACTGCGTGGGTAGGTTGGGCTAGAGACAGTATGTGCTTCACGCTCCCTGCCCTAGGCAGGAAGAAAAGGCGGGAGGGGGGCAGGGGTGAGGAAGCGGCAGGGGCAACAGCTGTGACCTCAACTCTGGGCTTGAAGTTGCAGCTGCAGCCACTGCCCTCCTCCACTTGTACTTGAAACTGAGGACAAGGGCTTTTCCCCCTCATGTTGAATGGGGCGGGGGGAGGAGATCTTGTCTTGGATTTCAGCAAATATGGTATTTGCCATGTGATTAATCTGTTTCAGTTTGTTTGGTTACCGTCCCGCCCAAGTGAAAAGAGGTGATTCTTGCTTTCTTTCTGTCACTCTTCCACCTCAGTATTTGGGAGCTGAAGGAGCAGAAGCAGATGTGACCTTGAAGTTGGAGGCAGAGTTTTTCTGGGCTGTAGGATCGTGCCAGACCCACAATCAGCCCAATAAATGGCTTGGTTACTGCAGCTGCAGTCTCAGGGAGACCCAGAGTATCCCCAGAAATTTGCTCTGGAGGCAAACAGTGCAGGACAAGGGCTGATGAACAAAGTAAGCAGAAGAGAAAAAAGAAAAATGAAAACCATGCAGACTTACCAGGAAGAAACAATCTGCTGACCAGATGGTTGGTTACAAGCTGGATGACATCTAAGAATAGCTGTTTCTGCTTCCCACCCCACAAACCTTTTGAAAATCCATTTACATTCTTAGTCTTCATAATCCTCTGGTTGCCTGTCTAATCACAGTCCATTGCTTTAACCACAGACTCTCAGTTTTTAGCTCCACCACAAACATCCTGTGTTATCTTGGAAAATCGCATAATCTCTCTGCTATAGTTCTCCATCTTGAGTTGGCATAATAATAACATCTGTACCTCGCAGAGGTGTTTGTAAATATGTATCAAAAAAGTTCAGAGGTTCTCTGAAACTGCTTTTATTTCAGCTGCATGAATTGCTTGGTAAATAGAACCGCTGAATGACCCAATGATGTTAGGCTTTGTCTATACAAGGAAATCCACCTTGTTAGCCTAAATCCATTTTTAACTGATTCAGGTAAATTGGCACTAACCTTTTTGTGGATAGTCCTATTTTGATTTAAGAATGGTGTAAGTTCAGTTTAAACTTGTTGCCAGTCAACTTTAAAACAGATTTACTTAGATTTAAAAAGCCTTTTTATACTGGTATACATTGATTTGAAAATTGTATCTTTTTTTAACACAGGCTTGGCCATAGAAACATCAACCATCCAAGTAATATTTTTTGTCTCAACAGCCCTTCTATTACCAAACCAATCTTCAGTGACATTGGGTCTAATATTTTCTATAAGACAGTTTTCTTTAAAGGCAGGAAGTGACCCAAGGATAAAATCATTTGTTTTTCACAGTTCAGACTTACTAAAGAATTGGATCCATGAACAAATTGCTGCAAGGTAAACTAAGGTGGAAATTTATAGCACATCAGCTACTCCATGTGCATACTCTTATCCCACTTTAAATGCACAGGAGATTAATCTGTTTCCATTGAGGAGCAAGCTGCGTCACACTTACTGGGGCCAAGGAGTAAGAGTATAAATGCAGGTTGTTACCATGGAGTGGCTAAGGCGTTGTAAGTTCAAACCTTTGTTACCCTGTGGTAACTTACATGTTTAGCAGATCCTTAAACTCAGGGTGTTCAGGGTGACAAAGGCCTACCTGAAAGTTGCAGTCCATTTTATTTTATTGTTTACCTTTTTGTAAGGTGTTCTGCAGTGGGAGAAGGATTGAGAATGAAATGTTGGTATTATCTAATGAAACTTCAAAAGCCCTTTGCTTAGTTAGCTTGATAATAAGTTAGCCTGATGATAAGCTTAACCTAGGTACATAACCTCTGGCAGGGTCCATTTGTATTTCTCTGAACATATAATGGGTGGCCAGGTTGTAGCTCTTAAGCAGAATTGGAGCGCTCTGGCAGTTGAAATGTGGTTCTTGCAGGAAGTAATTTAATGACACATTATTGCTTGACGTGAGGAGCTGGGTGCAAATCATTGACACTTCCTGTGATTCCTAACTGTATCACATTTTTTTGATTTGTGGCTACAAGGCTTAGGAAACTTGGCTGCCCTAGTATATTGTCTAGGTTAACCCCTGTATTTCCACCAGGACAGCAGTTAGGCATTTCAGGTGATCTTCCCAGGTGCTACTATAGCATCATGTCGCACAAATATTCAACTGGAAAATCACAGAAAAAAATTGTTCAGTCACTAGCTAGTTTTGGAGTCAGATGAGCCGTGTTCTTTGTAGCTTAGAAGTGTGACAGTGTATCGATCATTCATCTGTAGCTTCACAGATGAGAGATTATTTAAACTGCAGTGATAAAGTGACCATTAGTCATAACTGAACTGTAGCATGATAATCGAGGATTTTCCTAATTTTTCAAACAGCTCACCAGTGCAAAATGCCACAGAATATAAACAGCTTCCTAACGTCTACACCTCCATTTGCTCTGTTCCTATTGGTGCTAGGTGTGTCCATTTGCTGTTAAAAGGCTTAGGTGCTCAGTTATCGTCAGCACATCATAGAGACATCCAGTCATGTAAGTGACCCTCTTCTGAGGTGTGAAATCAAGTTCATCAATATATTTAATAGCCCTGTACCTACATACGGTTTTATGTTGGAATTTCTGCATTGCAAGTTTGAAAAGATGCCAGATGGATTCTTCTTCCTTTTCCTTCCAACTAGGCCAACTCAAGTCTGAATCCTTTTGTTCCTCTTCTGGTCTTCTGGATCAGCCTACAAGATTCAGCTTTTCATATTTAATTTCTTCTGCATCCTCCACCTTTCTTGGTTTCTAACTAATGCAGTAGGTTCTCTGAGAGAGTTGTTTCTCTGTAGCCTGAGAACTGTACAACACTGGGCTGTTTGCTAAAACAAATGTTGGTATTCTAGGTCACAACAGACAAAAGCTGCATCATAGGAGTATTTATCAGCCATATCTTCCCCTATCACTGGTCTGTAATTTCTTTCCAAGCCTCCAGAAAACCCTATAGTTTCTAAGTTTAGAGTATAATTTCAAGGTCTGTAAGTCTTTGCTGAGGATCAATTTCCCATGGGCCAAAGTCTGTGGAGTGTGTTATATCATGGAGGCAACTCTTTAACTTCCTCCCATTTAGGAATTGCATATACATCTGAATGCCACCACTCAGATGCCTGGTATTAAACTCCTAAGAAAACACGAGTTGGTCATATTTCACAAAAGGGCCCTCTGTTTCATGTCTCCTCAGTCGCAGTAAAAGCATTCCAAGGTTCTTGCATCCTTTCCATCCCTGTTATGCCCAGCTTTAATTTATCCCTTGACTTTTGTATCAAGTTGTCCCCCTATCCTCCTTCCCAAATTTTAGAAATGTAGTTCTAGCCAAAGTTTTGTGTGGGTAAACTGGGACTATGTCTTGTTCCGTCACTCATTCAGGATTGGAAATGCTTTCCCTGGAACTACTCCTGAATAACACACCCATTTTCTCCTCAGACAATTGCTGAGATGTATCAGTTGTGTGTGGAGCCACATTAGGGCTGCTCCTATTGGAAGTGTCCAACTGGAATCTCTGTCACTTTCCCCTCAGCTGAAATGTCTCATAGAGCTTAGCATTTTTCTCACAGCTGTCATCAAAGTAGTAGCATCAAAGGTGCCTTCTCATATAATAAAAGGAACCAGGAAAGGAATCCATTCCCACCATGTGGGATGCGACTGTCTGTTCATTTCAAGGAAAACGGAGACCTATGTCTTCCTCAGGGTTTGTAGGGAAAGCTCAAGAACTTTCCTTCAGGTGAAAGTAATGGTTCTACTTCTGGCTGCTTGACAAAGTTGCCTGCCAACGCTGATATATGCCAGTCGGTAGGCATAGACCAGCAAGTTATGTAGGAATTTGGAAACAGACTGCCAGCTGTTGCACTACAGTGATGAGAGATGAGAAAAGACAGGCAGCGGTGCTTTTGTAACCTTAATTCCTTTGCATTTGCTTGCTACTACTGCTTCTAGGAGGGTGATCACATTGAGTGAAGCCTTTGAACAAGTCAACACCTTCCCACCATCTTTGTAGGTTCAACATGCTCCTAGCTGCACGTGGTACATGAACAGCCTGCCTAGCTTACTTGCATGATGTTATTGGTGAGAGGTAAGAAGCTTAAGCTATGTTGTGTCTCTGCCCTCCCTCTGCAGAACGAGCCAGGCGGAGGAAGCTTCGAGAAGAGCGGGCTTGGCTGCTGGCCCAGGGGAAGGAGCTTCCCCCAGAACTTTCCCACTTGGATCCCAGTTCCCCTACTAGGGATGAAAGGAGGACCAAGGATCTGTGAGTATCACCAGCTGTTGGGTATGCAGCACATATGTACACCCATACCCACATAGAGAATATATATGCAGGAGGAATATGGCTAGTGAGAGGGAGGCCATGTACAGATATTCATGTCCAGAGTTGCTGCTCTCCCAGGAGAAATCATAAGTGTACAGAACAAAAATGATGGCTCCATGAGAAGAATAAACCAGGAACAACCAGTGTTAAATCCCCCCCAGGAGAGTTTCTCCTAGGAGAGCAAATGACTGTACATGTTCTCTTCTGAGAGAAGCCACAGCAGTTCTCCAGCATCCTATGGTGCTTTTCTCCTATGTGCGCCCCCACCCCCATTTACCCCCCCAGCCATCCTCCTTACCACACACAGGGAAACTGTGTTTGGACTCTGCTGCTTCAGCCATGCAGAGAGCAGAACACATCCCCTTCACAATCCCCCTGTTGTGCTGCAGGGAGACATTGGCTGACCTAGACACTGCTCTGAGTTAGCCTATCAGGGCTGTCCTGTGCATTGCTGCTATCTGTCTCTGGGCAGACTGAAGGAGTTTGCAGAGCATACTGAGATGCATGCACAGGAGGAAACCCCTGAATGCAGTGGTAACACTGCAAGCTCTCTGCTCCTCAAGGGCTCACCATTTGATTATCTGATCTGGTGCCTGTGGGTAACTTTTTCTACCAGGAAGACAAACCTGGGAGAATTCTTTTAGATCATTTGAACACATGTACAAAGAGAGAGTGAGAGAGAATGTGTTTTGGGTAATAGAACAGACAGGAGTGGGGTTGGAATGAACAGCAGATTTTGTGGTGCAGGCAAGAGGGCATCTCTCTGGAGGTGTGCCCATTAATGTGGCAGCCCTGCCTCTGGGGTGGAGGAAAGGTGAGGAATAAGAGCATGTGCATTCCTTGTGCTTCACATTTTTGCTTCCCATTTTCAGCTTTGAATTGGATGATGAATTCACTGCCATGTACAAAGGTTAGTCTTCTACCCCAGCCTTTTGCTTTGTTAGATTTTAAATAAGCTAATATCTACTGAGGTTGTGTAATGGCTTGTCTTCCTTTTTGTTCCTTTTGTTGCTGCCAGTTCTGGATGTGGTAAAGGCTCACAAGGACTCTTGGCCCTTTTTGGAACCAGTCGATGAATCGTATGCTCCAAACTACTACCAAATCATTAAGGTAGGCTGTGTAGTCCAGCCTGGTGGGTCAGATCTTCCATTTTGCTCTTTTGTGACTGGATTAATAGACATCCATGCACTGGATCAGTTGTCTGAAGATCTGTTTTCTCTGTTATGCAGAAGTTCAGGCTACATGAGTCTAGTGGTCCTCTCTGGCCTTAAAATCCAGTAGGAAGTTGCCCTATAGCAATAATACAGGGTGTAGTGAGACTGTCTTAGGGACCTTACTAGTGCTTGTTTTGACTGAACTTGGTGTGTTTCAGGCTCCCATGGACATCTCCAGCATGGAGAAGAAGTTGAATGGAGGTCAGTACTGCACCAAGGAGGAGTTTGTGGGTGACATGAAGACCATGTTCAGGAATTGCCTCAAGTACAATGGGGAAGGCAGTGGTAAGAGCAGAGAGAGAAGATTTGTTCTGTCTTGTCAGCAGTTGGTCAGTACAGCCACAGGCATCTCCCTCTTTGCCATTAGCTGGCTTGTACAAGACTCCAAAACTCTTCCTTTAGGTACTTTCTGGAGGCTGGAATAAAAAATAGGTGTTCCTAGATACTAAGGCCTGATTCAACAGGGTATTTAAATGCATGAATTGTATACTTTAAATATATGCATTAACTGATTAAAGGGTGTCTGCTCACATGTGTAAAGTTCTTCATGTGCTTAAGTATTTGGGCCTAGAATGTTGCATGAACCGTTGGGTTCTCTGGTTACTTAAAGAGTCAGTTACAAAGAGAAGAGATGTCTTTGTAGGCATCTTTCCTTTTGTGCTTGTGTCTTCCATGCCATGGTTGAGTAGCAGGGGATTTTATGGAGGGCAGGAGTTTGCTTTGCTTTGTAAAGCAGAATTGTCCAACCTCTGGTTGGTAGAGGACAAGGTGCCCCATGAGCCATAACACCCCTAGGCCTCATGTAGTACAAGCCACACACCACAGGAGCAGGCCTTCTAGGGTCTACCTCCATAGCCATAAAGACAGTCCCTCTGCCTTCTTGCCTGTGTGGGCAGCCAGGTCTATTTCCTGAGCTCCCTCCCACCATGCCATCCTCAGAAGCAGGCTGGATGGGAAACAGAAGCCAGGGGAGAGACTGCAGAAGGAGTGGGGACCCAGAGACCTTAACTGGGAGGAATGAGAAACTGGACCTGAGCAGTGGTTGGAATAGTGGCCAGGCAGTAGCCTATGGGCTGCGGGCTGTATAAGGCTCGTGGGCTGCCAGTTGGACAGCCCTGTTGTAAAGTAAAACTAAATAAGGAATATCCAGTACATGTAGCCTTTTGGAGGAAATGGTGTTCTTGTTGTCTTCTTTGCTACGTGGGCCAGTTACTAGGGAGACCCTGATTAGAATCAGGACTCCCCTGTGTGGCAGCTGGAAACCAGGTGTGTAGCTGGTGAGAAACATGCAGGTTTGTACTACAGCAATGTTGCACGTTGTCTCACTCATACCTTCATCTGTGGGCTGGACAGGAAAATTCCCTGAAGGGCAGGAGGAACTTAGATTCCTCAGAGGTGGGTTCCAGCTAAGAGAATCCTGTGCTCAGGGACTGAGAAAAATACCTATTTTCAGTGGCAGTGTCCTGCAAAAAAAATGTTGAGGTGGTGAAGAGGAAAGAATCAGAATGCAGTTTTCACTGACACTTCCACCTGTCTCTCTATTGACTTCACTGAAGACCAAGAATTTTTTGTGAGCAGAATATTTTATAGAAATAGGACATGTAGGTTGACTGATGCTCGTGTTGCACCTCCAGTGCCCGTAAGTCAAGAGGATGTTTAGAAACTGCCCATAGAAAAAACTTTTCATCACACTTCCCATGTTCTGAGAGTGCAGCGCAGGGACTTGGAGCAGTCCATGAATAGTTGTAAATAGAATCAAATTCAATTATGGGTGGGACTTCTATCTGGAGGGAAATAAAATAATTTGTTTGGCACCAATTTATTTGGAATGTGGAGGTTAACCCTTTTTTCTCTCAACACCTTCACCTAACTGACTGTTCAGGGCCTCTGTTTAAAGTTGGGTTTGGGAGTTCACATATTCAGCTATGCAGTCCGTATTAAGGCTGTCCTTGGACATTGGTTTAATGATAAAGTTAAATGATAACTCGGAGCATAACTGTGTCACTGGTACTACTTGGTAATACCTAGGTCAGGTGTAGGCAACGTTTTTTGGCCAGAGTGCTGAAAAACACCACAATGCCTACCTTGGAAGGTGCTGGAGTGCCAGCATGCCAGAAAAGCAAAATGAGGGCAGGAGGTACATGGCAGGATGCCCTACTTATACCCCTGCCCCCCAGCCTGGGCTCTGTGGCTGTCAGCAGCTACCCAGAGCCAGGGCCAGCTGCAGCCAGGGGGCTCCAAATAGCTGTTCCAGAGCCCTGGCATCAGCTCTGTACTCCCCACCTGCGCCTTGGAGCAGGCAGTGGGGAAGGGGCATGAGGCAGCACAACCCTAGTCTCTCCCAAGCTCCTGGCACAGAGCTGGTGACTGGGCTCTGGAGCAGGGCTGCAGCAAGAAGTGGGCAGGCTGCAAATAGCTGCGCCAGACTCCACAGCTCTGGCAGCTCCACGCTGGCAGCAACTGCGCGCACACCTCAGGGTGGTCTGCGCTGCCCTGCTGTCCACTCTGAGGTGTGCGCACAGTTGCTGCCAGCGTGAAGCTGATGCCGGAGCTGTGGAGCTGTTTTCAGCCTGCCTGCTTTTTGCTGCAGCTGCCCGGAGCCCAGGCTGGCTACAAACAGCTGCACCAGGCTCTGGAGCCCAGTCACCAGCTCTGTGCCGGGAGCAGGGGAGAGACCGGGGTTGCGCTGCCTCACACCCCTCTCCCACTGCCTGCTTCGAGGTGTGCATGCACTCACCAGTACAGAGCTGATACCGGGGCTCCATACCGCAGCACAGCTCTTCGCAGCTTCCCAGCTGCAGCCGGCCCTGGCTCTGGGTAGCTGCTCCCAGCAGGCAGCTGGGATGCTGCAAGCCCTGCTGGGAGCAGCCTGGGCTCTGTTTCTGGCAGCAGCTACCCAGAGCTGGGGCTGGCCATAGCGTGCTGAGCAAAATGGTCTCATGTGCCATGCTTCGCACGCATGCTGGGGGTTGCCAACCCCTGACCTAGGTGTTTCTTGAAGGTATCCAATCCTACTACTGAACAAGTCTGATCTGGCTGGTTCCAAAGTCTGTTGAAACTAATCCAAGCTGCCTCATTGAAAACACAGCTCGTCCTTATTTTTCCAGAGAGCTTCTCTGAGGAAAATATTTTGTAGAAACATGAGAAATCGGAGCCATTTGGAATAGGGTCAATCTTGTCCCACCCCATTCTCTCTCTCTCCGTGAAAATGTTTCTTTGCCACTCTTCTTTTGAATGCAGAATACACCAAAATGGCTTACAACTTGGAAAGATGTTTTCACCGAGCAATGATGAAGCACTTCCCTGGTGAGGATGGGGACACAGATGAGGAGTTTTGGATCAGAGAGGATGGCAAGCGAGAGAAGAGGAGCCGTCGGACAGGGCGCTCCAGTGCTGGCAATGTTTGGACCCGATCAAGAGACCATGATGGACCAGGAAGGAGACAGCAACGCTTGGAGAATGGAGGGAAACCACCGCCATACCGAGCTACTTCCCGCATTTCTGCTTCCTCCTCATCTTCGTCCTCTTCTTCCTCTGCAGAGGACCCAAGTGGTAACACAACACAGCCTCCTCAAGAAGTGGGCCCTTCCAATGGTCGAGGCTTCCCTCATCCTCTGCAGTATGGCGGAATGCCCAACCAAGTGCCACATCCTGGTCAGATGGTACGGGTTGCCTGTTGTTTATGAGAACTAACAACTTAATGTGGGGAAGGACAAGAGAATAGAATTTTGTTCCCCTAAGACCAAGTAAAATCCTTGCTGCATGATGAGGACCCATGTCCTTCCGTGTGTTAATGATGGCTCCTAACTTGGTGTCATCAACAAATTTCATCAAGGCATTCTTACTTTTTTGCATGGGTCAATAAAGTAAATGCCATATTTTTTTGTATACAGCAAGTCCCAGAATAAAATATGCACTGTGTTTTTGAAAGGCAGGATGCAGGAAAAAAGATCTTTCCTTGTAATAAGTAACTGAGTAGCAACAGCTAGAGAGCTGAACCTATTCATTATTCTGCTCCTTGTGAGTTCATGCAGACTTTACTTTTCACTTTTGCCCAATAAGTGGCAGAAACTGCTCTTACCATATTTCTTGCATATAAGGCACACTACAGTTTCCAGTAGCTGGCTTCTGCAGAAATGGTGTGCATGTGAGAAAATATGGTATTTAACTAAACGAGTCCTGTGGCTGACCTGGAAAGAAATCTAGTAGTAGCTACCGTTCAGCCTGATGCTCCCTTTTCAACTACATCTGTTGCCATCTTGTTGCCCTACAATTCCTCTGCTGATCTCTTGTAGCGCAGTCAGATATTTTACTGAAATCTAGATGAATGTGTTGCTGCTCATGACTCTTTGATTTTTGACATAGAAGCCAGATAAAGTTTATGTGAGATTTGTTTGTTGGAATACTAGCTCCAGAGGCTGTGATGAAGCATGAAGCCATCAAGCAGTCTAAGAGGGGTCCCTGAACACTTTACCTTCTCAGTTATTACAGCCTCTGTCACAGGCTAGATGGTCCCCTAGACCCCTAGCCAATTTGCCGTTCTGATCTTTCCATTTGCTTCTAGATAGTTGGAGGGTTGATAAATATATCAAGGCCTATTTTGCTGGATTTGTGGCTGGAATGTATGAGAACTTTCTGGTGGTAGAGCCAGGGTGTCAACAGATCTCCTCAGAATAAAGGGTCAAATTTATTTTATAATCTGAGTGCCTGTTGGATCTGTATGGGCAGAACACCCATCCACAGCTGCAGTCTTGCTCTTCTACAGTCTCATAAAAGTTTCTGGTTTTCCCTCTAGCGGCCAGCAGTGCCAGGAACATTTGGCCCTCTGAGAGGATCAGATCCAGCTAAGCTATATGGATCACCCCGAGTACCAGAACCCCATCCTGGAGATCCAGTTCAGCAGCACCAGCACCAGCACTTTGCTATGCAGGTAAAAAAAGGAAAAATCAACCAAACAAACAAAACAAAGGGAATCTGAATTTTCTGCATGCAACTTTTGAATTGCATACACTAATAGAGTGGGTCTAGAGCACTAAGAACTGTGACATTCCCTGTTGTTCATGGTATACAATTTTTGTAGTTGTGGTTTCCATCTCATTACGTTCATTGGTTCCATGGGAAAATGGCATCATCTCTCTGGCAGAAGAGCTAACCCATTGCCATGATTCATTGATCCTTTCATTTCTACTTTTTGTGCCTCTTGTAGCTTTCATGTGCCCAGAGGGGAGGTAGCTTTTACTAAACCTGGTTACTTTCTTTCCTTCCCAGCCTCCAGTTGGACTGAATGAACACAGAGGACACAGACTGCCTGCACCTGAGAAGCAGGTGTGTGCAGGACCAACACACATCTCCGCACTGGGATCACGGCCTGGATCCCTGCAGCTTGGGCAAATGAGTGGCCCACCCCCTGATGCCATGTACCCCCCAGCACAGTTTCAGCAAGGCTTTATCCCTCCAAGGCACAATGGACCTCCCATGAGACCTCCAGAGAGCTCAGAAATCCCCCCTGGCCATATGTACAGACCATATAAATACCTGAATCGAGCACATCCTGCTGTGTGGAATGGAAGCCACAGTGCAGCAAACCAGGCCACCCTGGGGCCAGATGAAAAGCCCCCCATGGGCCCAGGACCTTCTCTGCAGCCCCGTGCTCTTAGTCATATGATAGATCCTCGGGCTATGAGGCCACCTCTGCCTTCCAGCCAGTGGACTGAGCAATCAAATTTCCTACCTCATGGGGTTCCTCCCTCAGGATATATCAGACCACCTGGTAAAGCCACCAGCCAGAGGATGCAGCAATCACCAGCCACTGTGTTTGGGGGACCCCCTCAGGTTCAAAGAGGGTGCCAGGGTGGGGATTCCATGATGGACAGTCCAGAGATGATCGCTATGCAGCAGCTGTCATCCCGGGTGTGCCCACCGGGTGTGCCTTACCACCCTCGTCAGCCTCCTCCCCCACACTTGCCTGGCCCTTTCCCACAGCTGGCCCACGTGGCATCGGCCAATGTGCAGCCCCCAAAGCCAGTGTTGGGTAATGGAAATGCTCAGGATGCCAGTCAGACAGCAGAGCCGGAGAGCAACCAAGGTAATTGGAGTGGGAATGCATGCTTGTTGACCTGGTGCAGTGCGCAGCCACTGCCAGAGTCGTTTATCTTTTCTTGACCATGGCTGTTTCCCACACCTCCTTGCCTGGCCTCTGCTCACTCACCCAGAGACCCCCAGGCCACTACACAGCCACACACATTTTTGATAGACTGCCTGTCTTGTTGATCAATAGGTTTTCTTAAAGAAAAAACTGCTCTGCTTTTCTCAGGACAAGCCACCTTTGTCACCTAGAAGAAATTGAAAGAGCTAGTAGGATTATTCCTATGTCATTAGACTCAGCATTCATGAATCTAGTACTGCAGGTGCTGTTGGGCTTGCAAAGCAATGTCACTGTGATAAGCTCAGTGCTGTAGTCCCATACAAAAGTTAAAAACCAATTCCCAAACAATTTATTCTTAATGATTTTGAGACTAAGCTCAGTGCTCTGTTAAATATTGGGTTTTTTATCTATGTATGACAGGGGTGGCCATCTCATCCAGCCCCATGAGGCAGATGAGAGGCATGGGACCAATCAATAGAATCAGTCTAGCCCACAGAATGGTTCCACATGTCTGAATCAGCCTGCAGGGGCATGGGTGCCACGTGCAGCATGTGCTGTGGACTGGTCCCACATGCTGCTTGCGGTGCACATGCTGGCTCCAGTCCTCCACACTACATGCAGTATCAGCCCTGGCCCTATGTGGGGCATGCAGCACATGAAGCCTGTCAGGGCACATGCTTTACATGGTAAATGAGCCCAGTCTGGAGTGCATGCTGCACGTGCTGCCTGTGATGGACCAGCCCTGTATGCTGGCCCCAGCATGCAGGGCTGATCTGTGGTCCCAGTCCAGGCTGACTCTTGACCCAGCTTGCAGGGCCAGTCTGGAATGGGTACCACATGCAGCACAAAACCCTGACTGGCCCCACGTACTATGTGCAGTGTGCACTGGCTCTAGCCTCTGCATGCTGCTTGCATGGGCCCCAGATAACTTCTATATAGAACTAGATATAGATATCTGTATATATATCTATTTCTCAGGGGTGTCAGAGATGGGGACAACACAGCCCTATCATTCAGCCCTCAGTGCTTCCTGTGGGTCTCAGACTGGTTCACTGAATACAACACGCGCTGAACCCAGTCCCACACATAACCCACCTGGTGTGGGCTGCACACGGTACATGTAGGGGCCAGTCTGGGCTGGGACGTGTTGCATGCATAGTTATATACACATAGTTTGGATAAAATCTAAGATTACCAAGTTATTAAAACTAGAGGTGCACCAATAATTCAGTCCCATATTGGATTGGCACCTATATAGGGAAAATTGACAGTATCGGAAATTGGCTTTTTTGTCTGATGTGGCCAATAAATGGCCCCGTGCATGCTCACAGCTGCAGCATGCATGTGGTCAGGAGCGCAGCCTGATGGCTTGAAGAGCAGCATTGGCAAGTAAGTCTGTTGGGGCAGGGGGGCAAATCGAGGCCTCTGCAGTGAAGCGGGGAATGGATCAGGCACTGCTCAGCCAGGGTGGGGTAGGCATGGGATGGAGTTGCCAGCTGCTTGTCTGGGGGGCATGTGGGGGAGGGGGGGGCATCCTGCCACTGTGCACACCCTGGGATGCATGGGGGCCACGTGCCCCCAGATCTGTGTGCAGGGTGGGGTAGGGCAGGCTGTTGCTGTGGGCTGCCTGGCAGAGATGTTGGGCCAGGGTGGCACTGGGCTCTTCCCAGTGGGGAGGGTCTGGGCCAGGCTGTGCTCAGGGTGCATGGCAGCAGCACTGGGAGGAAGGGTCTATGGCAAATTTTGGGGTGGCTGCAGCCCCCCCAGAGCTCCCTCCCAGTGCTGCTGCTCACACCCAGCACAACTTGGTCCAGCCCCCCTGCCAGGAAGAGCTCAGCACCGCCCCGACCCCAGCCCGCAGCGGTAGCCTGCCCCACCCTGCGTGCAGATCCAGGAGCACACCCCCATGACCTCCAAGGGTGCACGCAGCACTGGGAGTGCCCCCTCCCTGTGCCCCTCAGACAAGCCACTCATAGCTCTGTCCCACATCTGCCCTGCTGTGGCTGAGTAGCACCTGCCCCAGCCCCACTCCCTCCCCCACCGCAGGGACCTGGATCTGCCCCCTATGCCCCTTCCCTTCCCCTACACCAGACTTACCAGCCCAACGCTGGTCTCCAAGCTGCCCAGCTGCATATCAGAATCAGATTGGTATCGGCCAATATGGCTCCTTAAAAGTTGGCCATTGGTATTGGCCCAAAAAATCTCTATCAGGACACCCCTAATTAAAGCATAGATTGATCCTGACTTGGGCTTTAGGCATTATCACTGTATAAATGTAGTATGCAAAATTTCCAGAGATTATTTAGAATTTATGTGAAAGTTGGTTCTTCAAAGAGCTGAACTGAATGCTGAATTTTCACAGCATTGGCATGTGTTTCCAGTGCATCACTTAAAAGGCTTTTCTGTCCAGAGTCTACTCTAATTGTATTCAAACAGGATTCATATACAGTATTGAGAACATTAATGGGTTGGTGGCTGGCAGCCACGATTAAGCCACTGACCTACAAACTGGTGACAGTTATCAGCAAACAGCCAAGATCAGATGTGAAGACTGTTACTTAAAGAAATTACTAAGTATAGTTCTTTGACTGTGTGTTAGTGAGTATCCCACTTTACATATGCCTTCAGTGTCCTTTGAATAACAAGAGACTGTCAGGCTGTACATATGTCTTGTGTCTCTGGTTCCCTGCAAGATGGCAGCAAAATGAAACCTGGACAACCTCCAGCTAATTTGTAGCATTTGCTAATCCAGCCTTCATTGTGAAGTTGTTGAAGAATTCATTCTTCTCATCTTAAAAACAAAACAAAAAACCCACAAAAACAAGCAAGCAAACATTCTATCCAGCTGGACTTTCACAAAGTAAGGAAGAGTGATGAATTTGACACGCTGCTGCACTGCAAGGTCTGGTGCCTAGCACAGCTGCCATAGAGTGGCAGACTCAAAACCACTGGGATTTAAAGTCTCCCTAATCTATGTTGGATTCATCCCTCTTGCAGATGGGCACAGCTGCTGCTGCGTGTGCCTGAGGGGAATCATGTCTTGGATGGAAATGCAGTTTTGTTGCTTTTTTTTCCTCTGGGACTTGTAAGTCCAGATAAGTTAGTCTCAAACTGCCTCTGTTAGAGCAGTCTGTGAGAGTTGCTTCTGACCCAGATGAAATGGCAACTGCCAAACCGGAGGCAGAAAAAGCGTCCCCAGCTGGTGTCTTCTCACGCAAACACCCTGTGCCAGATTTCCTGAAACACTTGCCAAGAACCCTAAGTACAGCCAAGCAAAAAGGACGTTGGCAAAATTCAGCCACTTTTGCCCCTCATGGGTTTCATAAAGGGACTCTGCACATCTCTGTGCCCATGATAATCGAGGTGGCAAAGGTACAAGAAAAATCCAGGGGTGTGAAGGATTCTTCTCATATGGAGTGTAAGATTTATTCTTCCATCTTACCACAGCTCCATATTGTGACCTCTCAGGCCCTGTTTGTGAAATGCTGTTTTCTCACATGGAAGTGTGTGGCTGCCTTTCTATCTAAAGCAGGGAGGAAGTGAAAAAACGTAAAGGCTAGATAGTCTTCAAGTATGATATATGGGGTAGATGACGTTGCTTTGAGATGGGCTTGCCTGGCTTTGAGCATCCAGCATCCCAGAAGGGGTTTAGTGAACCACAGAGGACCTGTTGTTTGAAGGGATGGAGCTCTGCAGCAGTCAAACAGATGAACTGGCCAACAGTCCCAAAGTTTCTAGGGCTGTGCTGTGATCACAAGTCATAACAGCATCCAGCTCCAATGAAACTGAGGGCACCCTACTATTTGTTATCTCAACAATGGGCACAATCTGGAGGCATCTGTCTGCTTCCTCTGCTGTGCACCTGGCACCGTCCCATCAGCAGCATATTTGACAGAAACATTGGGACCTAGAGACTACATTGGCCTCAGTATACTAAAGATGGCTTCAGAAAGTCATGTATAAATGTCTAGAAAGTAACAAACTTCCAAAATATGGAGGAAAGCTAACATTATTGCTGTCCTGAAACCCAGTAAACCACCAGAGGATCCAAAGAGCTACCAATCCAAATCAGTATTCTTTGTTACATACAAACTCATTGCATATATAATCCTGAATAGAACAGAGAACATCATTGATTCCCAGCTCCCAAAAGAACAAGCTGGCTTTCGGAAAAAGCAGTGTATATTGACCAAGTTACGTTTCTTATATCTGACCTAGAAAACGGATTTGAAATGAGGCAGAAAGCAATCACAGTCTTTATCAACCTTACAACCCATCTGATGCTGTATGGCACCGAAGCCTCAAATATAGACTGCACTCTGATACGTTGCTGCAAGCTATGTACTTTCATCATGAATGTGATCTCCAACCAAACTCTCATTACTAGCCAAGGAGAAAAAAGTGGAGTATGAACTCTGAAGAATGGAGTCCCTCAAGGGTGCTAACACCGATACTTTTCTACGCATATATCTCAGACTTTACCTTTCCAACATCTAAGTGATGTATGTACTCTGACTATGTTGCCATAGTAGCCCATGGAATTGAGATTACAGAACTAGAAAAGATACTGAGTACTGATATGGAACTCATAACTGCCTATTTCCACAAGCGGCACTTAATGTTGAGCATCAGTAAATTTAATATGATCATTTGTCCACCTGGACAATCATTTAGCCAAGAGAATGCAGACTATCAGAGTAGGCAACCACATCCTTCCCCCAGAGCATACCGCAGTCTGTCTAGGAGTTGCATTAGAATGTTCCCTCACCTGTAGACGCCATATTCAGAAGATCATCAGTAAAGTCTGCATGGGTAACTGCTTTAAGATGTTTAGCCAGCACATCATGCAGTGCCATTCTCAAAGGGCTCAGAACCACCACGCTCGCAACGGTATATATCCCAGCAGAATATTGTGCTTCTGTATGGTGCAATATTTGTCA